TGCCGCCGAGCCACCGGCCACTGGGGAATGGGTGCTCCCCGAGGTGGGACCCGAGCTGCCCGTCGTCACCAAGGCAAGACCTTCCCGGCAGCACCATCCCCGCCGCAGCATCCTCTCGCTGGTGGGGTGGGCATGGGGGGATGCAGGAGCTGGCACAGCTCGGGGTGTGTGTGGGGGGGGCTGTTTGCTCACCCCATCCCGGTACTCCCCGCAGCTCTCGGACTGGGAGATCCTCCTGGAGATCAGCAACGTCTCCTCCAACCTCAACCACAAAGACCTGACGTGCCGGGCGGAGAACGCGGCGGGACCGGCGGAGGACAGCGTGATGCTGAACGTCACCTGTGAGCAGCCCGGAGGGGGCCGACGTGGGGTCCGGGGTGAGGGGTCCTGCTCGGGGACCCACCCAGCTCTGTCTCCCCCAGTCCCCCCCGTGATCCTGCTGCTGCACGAAGCCATCCCCCAGCACTTCTGGTGCATCCCCTTCTCGGTGGACGGCAATCCGGTCCCCAGCATCCGCTGGCTCTTCAACGGCACGGCCCTGGCCGAGGGACCCTACATCCACACCCGCATCGTGGAGTACGAGCACAACTCCACCGTCCTCCACGGCTGCCTCCAGCTCAACCGTCCCACGCACGTCAACAACGGCAACTACACCCTCCTGGTCCGCAACTCCCTGGGCTTCGCCGCCCGCAGCATCCAGGGACGTTTCATGGAAAACCCCTTCAGCTTCAGCCCCGAGGAGCCCATCCCCGGTAGGTGCCGGTAAATGCCGGGTGGGTGGGGAGGGGGGTGCCTGGGGGCTCCCCCGGCCCCGGTCTCGGGGGAGGAGATGCATTGCATCTCTCCTTGCATTGGTGTGCGAAACAGGTTGTATCTGGCTCTGCCCGCTGGCTCCCAGCAAGCCCCGATGTGCCTCAGTTTCCCCAGGGGTGGGAGGGGGGAAGGACGGGGCGCTCTCGCCTGGGGAATAACGAGTTGTTTCTCCTTTCTCTCTCCTTTTGGGCTGCACCAGTGTCTCTGTCTCCGCTGGGTGAGTGACCGGGCACGCTG